TTGCCCCTTGAGAAGGTGGTGGTGAGCTGCCTTCTTGAACCGCTGCAGTCCACCTGCTGTGGGTTGACCCACAATGCCCTTAGAGAGGGAATTCCAGGATTTTGACCCAGCGACAGTGAAGGAACGGTGATATATTTCCGAGTCAGCATGGTGAGTGGCTCGGAAGGGAACTTGGAGGCGGTGGTGTTCACATATACCTGCTGCCCTTATCCTTCTAGATGGAAGTGGTCGTGGGTTTGGAAGGTGCTGTCTGAGGATCTTTGGTGCATTTCTGCATCTTGTCGATAGTACGCACTGCTGCTACTGAGCGTCGGTGGTGGAGGGAGTGGATGCTTGTGGATGTGGTGCCAATCAAGCGGGCAGCTTTGTCCTGGATGGTGTCAAGCTTCTTGAGTGTTGTTGGGGCTGCACCCATCCAGGCAAGTGGGGAGTATTCCATCACACTCCTGACTTGTGCCTTGTAGATGGTGGACAGGTTTTGGGGAGTTAGGAGATGAGTTACTTGCCACAGTATTCCCAGCTTCTGGCCTGCTCTGTGTTTATGTGGTGAGTCCAGTTGAGTTTCTGGTCAATGGTAACCCCCAGGATGTTGATAGTGGGGGATTCAGTGATGGCAACACCATTGAATGTCATGGGGCGGTGGTTAGATTGATTCTTATTGGTGGTGGTCATAGCCTGGCAATTGTGTGGCGCGAATGTTACTTGCCACTCGTCAGCCCAAGTGTTAATACGCAGTTAACTCCAAAGCAGTGTTACCGTGAGCACCAAGCACCAGCTCCTCACAAGCTGGTATCGCTGCCACAAGTCTTTAGACTTTGCACATCGCCTACAGAGCCAGAATCCATAACTATCCTGGAGGATAAGGTTAGCCAACTTCTTCAACCATTGTCATTGCCCTCCTGTGTAAATACACTCACAGTACTCCGAGAGAGATTGGAGCAGGATTACAGCCCAGTGTCAGGGAAGGGACAGTGACGTACAGTACGGTCGTGCAATTTGTGCGAGACCCGTTCTCAGACAACATTGGGTTGGCAGGCTTCACGATATCCCTCCTCATTCAGTCCAGCACTGCTCCACCAATCACAAATGATTGGAAGATTCTCTGCTGTTAGTCAAACACTCTTTCTGCCCCACACCGACCCTCTCTCCGTTCCCATCCTTACTGTACCTCTAAACCTAAATACATACCCACAAAATAACACTTACATAACCCATGACCTTACAGGGGTTGATTCTGGAGTTGTGAGGGTTGGCTTATGAGGCAAGATTGAGTAGACTGGGGACTATACTCATTGGAATTTAGACGAATGAATTGAGGGGATCTTACAGAAACATATAAAATTACAAAGGCATTAGATAAGATAGAAGCAGGGAGGCTGCTCCCACTGGTGGGTGAAACTAGAACAAGGGGGCATAGCATCAAAATAAGGGGGGGCAGATTTAGGGCTGAGTTGAGGAGGAACTTCTTCACCCAAAGGGTTGTGAATCTGTGGAATTCCCTGCCCGGTGAAGCAGCTGAGGCTTCCTCGTTGAATGTTTTTAAGGCAAAGATAGATTTTTGAACAGTAAAGGGATTAAGGGTGATGGTGAGTGGGCGGGTAAGTGGAGCGGAGTCCTCAAATAAAAATCGTCATGATCTTATTGAGTCATGAAGCAGGCTCGAGGGGCCAAATGGCCTGCTCCTGCTCCTGGTTCTTACGCTCTTATAAAATCATGAGGGGTATAGACAAGGTGAATGGCAGGTGTCTTTTCCCAAGAGTGGGAGATTTCAAAACTCGTGGGCATATCTTTAAGGTGAGAGGTGAAAGATTTTAAAAAGGACATCGGGGCAATTTCCTTTTTACACAGAGGATGGTTCGCTTGTGGAATGAGCTTTCAGAGGAAGTGGTGGATGTGGGTACAGTTACAATGTTTAAAAGACATTTACATAAGCACGTTAATAAGAAGTGTTTGGAGGGGTATGGGCCAAGTGTGGGACTAGTTTAGTTTGGGAACATAGCCAGCATGGACTGGTTGGACCAAAGGGTCTGTTTCTGTGTTGTATGACTGTATAATGGCCCTTTAACCTTTTTCCCCTGCTAGCTTATAGCAGTATAATGAAGATTAGTCTTGAGTCCTAGATATTCCAGTGTAGGTCTAGACAATTAGAAACTCGAGGGTTGAAGTTGCACTTTCTATCTCTACCCCAGCGTTGTGCTGCACCACAGTAATGACAGGGGTTCAGATTCTGATCGAGTGGTGACCTGTCCACCAGGAACAGCTTTAAATGTGGGTAAGGCATTCATTAACTTCAGCATTAGCTGCTCACCCAAGGCTTGGCTTTCGGAACAACTTTGTTGGAATTTGTCTATCACCTCTGTACTCGGACAACACTGCTCCCCAATCCAGCAACATCTTAGACTTTTATCTGTCCGTGGGCCTCTTCCCTGAAACCCTCCAAGCCATCAGCCATCTCCAATCTTTCCCCTCTGCTCTGGAGAAAGTGATGGGCTGTTCCAGTGCAGGTTGACCCACAGGGACATTGCGGAGTGAATGCCAGGATTTTGATCCAGCCGTGCAGAATATTCATGGAGGGGACACCTTGGCGGGGACCTTACCTACCCTGCACAACTGCTGCCCTTATTCTGCTGGGGAGTGCAGGCTGCAGGTTTGGAAGGTGCTGTTGAGAATTTCTTAGATTCACAGAATCCCCTACAGTGTGGAAGCAGGCCACTTGGCCCATCGGGTCCGCACTGACCCTCCGAAGAGCATCCCACCTGGGCGCACCCCATCCCAGTCATTCCCATGGATAACCCACCTAGCCTCTGCACTACAGGCATTTTTAGAACGACCCATCCACCCTAACCTGCGCATCTTTGGACTGTGGGAGGGAACCGGGGCACCCGGAGGAAACCCACACAGACACGGGGAGAATGTGCGAACTCCACACAGACAGTCACCCGAGGGTGGAATCGAACACGGGCCCCTGGTGCCGTGAGGCAGCAGTGCTAACCACTGAGGCACCGTGATGACCATGAGCAGTGCATTTTGCAGCTGGTGCACACTGTGGCAATGGTGGTGGAGGGGGCACTTGAGGAGGTAATGAAATGGGACCCCTCACCCTACCGGTGGGTTCCTACACCCACCTCCCAATCCCCATCCCACTTCCTTCCTTTTGGATGCTGCTATGAGCCTACCTCTCCACGAAAGCATTTTGTCTTGTGGCCTGACGCCAATAAAATCAATAAAGGGGAACCACTGGATGTGGTATACCTGGACTGACGAAAGGCAGTTTATAAAGTACTCCACGAGAGGCTGGTTAGAAAAATTACAGCACGCAGGACAGGAGGTAACGTGCTAGCATGGATTAATGCTTAGCTAGCAAAGTGAGTAGCAATAAAAAGAGTCGCTCTCATGTTGGCAGTGGCCTATTGCAAGGGTTAGTACTTGTGCTCCAGCCATTCACAACGATTTGGAAGTAAAAGTAATATTTCTAAATTTGTGGCGGATACAGAGCTAATTGGGAACATGTGTTGTTGGGAAGATGTAAAGAAGCTTCTGGTGTATTTGGGTAGGCTCAGTGAATGGGCAAGGACATGGAAAAACATGTTAGTAGGAGGAACAAACATACAGAGTAATTCTTTAATTATAACAGGCTTGAAGTATTAATGTATAAAGGGATTTGGGTGTCCTTGTCAATAAAACATGAAGGCTAGCAAACGTGTGCTACAAGCTACTAGGAAGGCTAATAAATGTTAGCCTTTATTCCCAGAGGATTGGAGTACAGCAGCAGTAAAGTCTTGCTTCAATTGTATGAGAGCTAGGTTAGACTGCACCTTCAGCAGTTTTGGTCTCCTTTCCTCAGGAAAGATATTATTGCCACAGAAAGAGTGCAGCAAAGGTTCACCAGACCTGTTCCTGGAATGGCATTCGACAATCTGGGTCTAAATTCTCTAGAGTCTCATAGAATAAGGTGGGATGCCATAGAAACGTACATAACCCTTACAGCGACAGACAGGAGAGATGCGGGTAAGGTGCTACACTGGTAGAACCAGGGGCCACAATTTAAAAATAAGAGGGATGCCGCTCAGGTGCAAGATGAGGATCTAAGAGGATTGTGAACCTTTGGAAAATCTACCACAGAGAAAGCTCAGTCCTTGAGTATGTTTCAGGTAAAGATTTGGTGTATTTCTGAATTATGGTGATGGGGTGACTAAAAGACATCAAAGTGTCTAATCAGCCAAGATCATTTTGAATGGCGGGGTAGGCTCGATGGGCTGAATGGCCTACTCCCATGTTCCTATTTTACTCATACTACCTAAATCCAGTGGGCGTGAAATAACACGCCTGCAAAGTGGCGGGAGATATTTGATAACACCAAAAGGTGCTACATAAATGTAATTTGTGGTGGTTCAATCAGACGACTAGTCATTGCCATTTGAAAGTGGGCAGTGCCAAGGCAGCATCAGATTTCAAGGGAAGTGGCAGCTAATAATTTCCAAAGAGGGGAGGAACAAGAGGCCATTATAAAAACAAAGCTCGGAGAACTGGGTAGACTTACAACAGCTACAAATCCTTTCTCAATAGCGTCAGTGGGTTTGCCTGCTCAGATCCTCCTCTTGATCCTGGCTCCCTCAAGGAACACAATCTCTTTGATTTAACAGCACCCAGGCTTGAGAACTTACAGCTTTAATTCATTTCACTCCACAAAGCCAAACCTCAGAGGGAGCTGAATTTGTCTTCAGATAATATGACACTTTGCAGTCTCCTCCCATCTCTGTCTCTTCCTCCTCCTCCTTCTCCTCCTCCTGTTTTTTTTTAACCCTGCCTTCCCTCACCCGAGATACAAATTCATTCATTCCCATGAGACCACGTTCCCCCAAACAATCCCGCTATTAGCCAACAACAAAAATAAAACTCGCAGGTACGAGAGACTTTTTAACATCATAAAACATCTTGAGGAGCTTTACAGGAATGATGAAACTTGACAAACAGTCTACGCAAGGTGATATTAGGAGAGCTGGCCGAAACCTTGGGTAAAGACACAGGCCCTTAAAGAGGAAAAGGGAGAGGCACTGAGGTAAAACAATAAGACTTGCATTTCTACAGCACCATTCAGGATCTCAGGAGATTGCAAAGCACTTTGCATCTGATGAAGTGTTTTTTGAATTGCAGTTGCTGATGTAACGCAAACAAACTCAACAATTTACTCACTGCTAATTCACAGAAATAGCAGTGTGAGCATTAGATTATAAGATTTTTAATGGGTGTTGATTGAGGGATGCATAGATACTGCAATATAGTGGAAATGTTGCAGGTTCATAATCATAGAATCCATGTGACCCTACATTTCCCATGGTTAATCCACTTAACCTACACATCCCTGAACACTATGGGCAATTTAGCACGGCCAATCCACCTAATCTGCACATCTATGGACTGTGGGAGGAAACCGGAGCAAACCCATGCAGACACGGGGAGAACGTGCAAACTCCACACAGACAGTCGCCCGAGGGTGGAATCGAACCTGGGTCCCTGGCGCTGTGAAGCAACAGGGCTAACCACTGAGCCTATGTGCTGCCTTGGTAAATTTGAAAAAACCCATGGTGATTTGGTGATAGAAATGCCCTGCAGAGCTGAGATAACTGACCTCCAACAACCAAGACCAGCTTCCTATGTACCAGGTATGAGTCTAACTAGCAGAGAGTTCGCCACCCCTCCCCACCCCATCCCCACCCGAGTCTAAGGCTCCTTGATGCCACACTTGGTCGAATGCAGCCTTGATGTCAAGGGCTGTCACTCTCACCTCACATCACCTCTGGAATTCAGCTCTTTTGACCATGTTTGATATTTAATTCATCGAATTAAATTCAAATCCTTCTTGTGCTATGGTGGGATTTGAACTGTTGTCGCTGGAACAGGTTTCTGGAAGAGATTCCCAGTCATTTTACATATGCTACTGTTCCCTATAAACATCACCCTTGTTCCCTCCATAAAAAAAAAATCCATCCCATCTGGACTGAGTGACTTGTTTTTACTTTAAGTGACCACCAGCATTTTCACTCCCTCCTCTTTATCAATACTTATCTAACCTGAGATTGCTAACCATTCTCTGACCTTTGACAGTGTCCTCTTCTCTGCTGAGGGCAGATGCAAGACATTCCTTTTGCACCTCAGCCAGCCCTGTGCAATTCAAAAAGATTTTTTACTTGTTCATCGTCATCACCAACCTCCCTTCCATTCTTGTTACATGCTTAAAGAGACTTTTGGGTTCACAGAATCATACAGTCAAAGAGCTGTGCAGCGTGGAAACAGACCCTTCAGTCCAACTCGTCCATGTTGACCAGATATGCTAATTTAAGCCAGTCCCATTTAAACCCTTCCTATCCATGCACCCATCCAGATGCCTTTTAAATATAATTGTACCAGCCTCCGCCACCTCCACTGGCAGCTCTTTCCACCCTCTGCCCCTTAGATCCCTTTTAAATCTTTCCCCCAACTCACCATAAACCTATGCCCCCTAGTTTTGGACTGCCCTATCCTGGGGAAAAGGCCTTGGCTATTCACCCTATCCATGCTTCTCATGATTTTATAAACCTCTACAAGGTCACCCCTCAGCCTCCGACACTCCAGCAAAAATAGCACCAAACTATTCAGCCTCTCCCTATAGCTCAAACCCTCCAACCCTGGCAACTTCCTCGTAAATCTTTTTCTGAACCCTCTCAAGTTTAATAACATCTTTGTTAGAAGGGGGACCAGAATTGCACACCGTATTCCAAAAGTGGCCTAACCGATGGCCTGTACAGCCGCAACATGACCTCCCAAATGTTACACCCAATGCACTGACCAATAAAGGCAAGCGTACCAAATGCCTACTTCACTACCCTGTCTACTCGCGACTCCACCTTCAAGGAACTATGAACATGCACCCCATTTTATGTTTCTTTTTATGTCCACTAAAGTAGTCACTTTAGTCCTATTTTTCCCTTCTTTAGAAAAATTCTCCCTTTACTTTCCATGTCCAGTTTGGTTCTCTCCTGTGTTATGAACTATACAAATCTCAAGACACTCTCTGTCCTACTTTCACCTTGATATTTTGAGTTAAATAGTCAAGCTCTAGCTTAGGATGGGTAAAACCAACCCAGTTGCCCCACTTCACGTCTGTCCTGTACCAGGTCCATCTCCTTGGAGAGCTTCTCATTACTTGATTCCTGTTTTGTCCCCCAGTTTCTGATCCCAATCCACACGGGCTGGGCTCTGTAGTGACTGGAACAAGGTCAGCCAGGGTGGCTCATATTCTGAGTTCCCTGATTGGGGCTGTTAACCTGGTCTAATCAGGGAGCCCTGGCTGACAGATATAAACGGGAGGTTCTGTTCACTCCGAGAGCCGGCTCCGAGGGAAGCTGGGTCAGTGTCGAGAGCTCTCCACGTGTACATAAAGGGTGATCTGGTGATGGGATAGCAGCCACTGTGCAGCTACTTCAGGTTCCTTTTCCACTCACTGCAGTCACCTCTGAGTCAGTGCTTCGAAGAAACCGACCGCACCCTCTGCTTTCCCAGGATTTTGAGAATCCCGGTGACAGACGAAAGGAAGATCTGCACTTCCGTAGCACCTTTGGATGTCCCAAAGCAGCCAGGGAGGGTGAAGGTTTGTCACTGTAGTCGTGCGGGAAGCATAGCATCCAGTTTGCACACAGCCCAGCTCCCACCAAGTACAGTGTGGTGATGAGTGGGTGCACAAAGTCCTGGGATACACTCGATCAGGTCCCGGGGGTTTACCCACCTTTACATTCTCTAAGACATCCGGCATTTCCTCTTCGGTAACACAGACTGTTTTCAAAACATCAATATTTATTTCCTGGTTACAGGAAGGGTATTTTTAAGCTTGAGAGAGTGTTCAGAAGCGATTTACCTGGATGTTGCTGGGAATGGAGGGTTTGAGTTATAAGGAGAGGCTGGAACTTATTTCACTGGAGTGTAGGAGGTTGAGGGGCGACAGTATAGAGGTTTATAAAATCATGAGGGGCATAGATAAGGTGAATGGCAGGTGCCTTTTCCCCAGGGTGGGGGATTTCAAGACTCGGGGGCATATTTTTAAGGTGAGAGGAGAAAGATTTAAAAAAGACATGAGGGGCAATTTTATTTTTTTTTTAACACAGCGTGGTTCATACGCGGAATGAATGTCCTGAGATGCGGG